AGGCTCTTTTTGAGCTACCTTCCCTAATGTATATCCATTTCTCTGTTTCTCTCTCTACAAGTTTGCGCCGCAGATGGCTGCCTCGGTCTGTCACCAAAGCAAATTCCTTGTGTGTGCAAACCTACTTGGCAATAAAGCTCGTTCTGATTCTCAAAGAAACACATAACATTTCCTTTTACATTTCCAAATGTTTTCTAACTATTGAAACTCACATTACTGCTTTCTCTGATACCTTTCATCATAATCAGCAGCATTAACGGTTAATGTCATTATAATTTTTATTATAATAGTGCATAAACAATAGAGATTAAGAAAAGCTTACTGTCAATGTGAAATAGATGTTGTTTTTGACTGATTATATATGTTATTGTCGTGGTATTTTTGTGTTAAAAGGCAGCAGCAGTAGTTTAAAAGTTGCTGGTCCATCGCAGGTAGCACACACATTCACTCCTATGGGCAATTAACCTGATGCACGTGGGGGAACATTCTAAATATTGTTCTGAAAACAGATAATTCATATGATTTATTGTCACTCAGTCCACATTTGATCAGTTTTTATCATTTTTATCAGTTTTTACCCATATGATTGCCAATTTCATTTTTTTTTTATTACTGAGAAACCATTGATCTGAAATTTGTTCAATATAAAAATAGCTTCAATGTAATTCACTACTTTCACCATGTTTTTGTAGCTTAGCTTAGCTACATTTCTCAGGTTATAGTTTTAGTGTAGTGGAACTACATTTAAAGAAGATTAACTGTTAAGCTTAGCTTACTACATTTTCCAAGTAGCTTGCCCAATATGTATCTGTTGTACCACAAACGCCATCTTCAGGCAGGGAGTGTCAATGCATCATTATTTCCTTGACCAGATGAAGAGCACCCTTCTTAGAAGCCATCTAAAGATTTGTGCGGATCTCAATTCGGATCAGAGTGTAGAGGCTTTATTTCTCATCTTGTAGAATGTGAATCCTTTCCTTCCTCAAGTGGTAAGATATTTTGGATAAAGGTTTTCTAAGATTTTTCTAATTAACTTGCTTTGGTAAACAATCCAGACATTATCAGCAAATAAGCTTAACTCTTAGTCCCACTGGCACATCCATCACTTCCATGCATGAGCTTGTTGACATGTGGGTGAGCTAACGCGCGTCAGGCAGATTCTCTACAGCCAGCTATATCTGCCATTGATGGTGGACCGACGTGAACGGTGATTAAATGTCAGGGGAAGCAGCAGGATTATTGGAGGTGAGGAGGTTTAGCCTGGAAGAATGTCAAGAGCATCATTGCCCTTTTAGTGTGTGTGAGCAGCCACATCACCCCGGCAGCCTTGGTTAATGACTTTACGCCAAGACAAGAGAAGAGATAGAAAAAAAAGAGAAAAGACGCCAGGAGGGTAATGACGGCGCCTCAAACTAATGAAAGGCTCTTCAAGTGCATGACTAGTTGTGATGAAACTGAATCACAGGTTTGAAGGCTGTAATTTGCTATAATGTTCTTTCAGAGAGATCACGTATGTGTTGTAATGGCCATCAAAAAGCTTTGAGAAGTAAAACTGTTTCTTTAATTTATCTTGAATGACTTAATAAAGAAACAAATGACAGTCAAAGATTATCTGCAACATTACCTCCTCTTATATAATCTTTTAATGACATAAAACAGGAAAAATGCTTCCCATAGTTCGATTCACAGCATTCTTTGTTAAAATGTGTTTGGTAACAAAGTAGAAGTTCTCAAGCTATCTTGCCTCTAATGAATTAACAGTTTAAAATCAAAGACACTCTTGCATTTATTTGAGCCACCCAAAGCCCAGTGAACTCGCTTGCGCCCCCTATTTCATTGTGCTTTTGATTTGTATTTGTGTTGTAGTATTAGTGGGCCATTAGTTCACAACATAGCTGCATACTGAAACATAAAACATAAAAAAGTATTTGTGTTGTTGATTTTCAGTCATGTTTTCATTTGCAATTGCGTGATGCACTAATGGGCCACTGTAATAAATGCAGTAAAAAAAAAAAAACTAAAAATGTGAAAAGTAAAAAAAAAAAATAATGTCATTCCTGGATACAAGAGAAAGTAAAAGGAATCTATTATACATTTCCCAATGTTATTATGTTAAAGATTCTTGAATTACCACATTTAAATTCAACAAGGTTGTTCATTTTATGTCCTTTTTTTTAATTGGCTCACAAGCACAGTGAAAGACTCCAAATCACACCATCAAGTTTTGTACAATGCAAGCCTATCCAATATGTTTTATTACGGTTATAACCCCAAAGTTAGTTCAAACACTGAAAAATAATATTTGGTCTATGAAAAACTCTTGTTCTTAGTTTTTTCTTTAGTGTTGTCTGTACGATTGGCTGAATGACAAAACCACGTCGAAAATCTCTGGATTAAAAAAATATCATTAAAGTGCTTTTTGATTTGTTTTATTCATCAAAATGCACAATAAATCAAAATTTCAGTAAAGTGTTATAAAATAATTTCTTTTGACTCACAACTAAATAAAAAATGTAAACATTATTTTACAACAACAAAAACAATGTATAGTGGTACCAAATCAGAACATATTGTAGTGTGTTTGGTAAGAGAGACATGGACACTGTTCAAGGCCGTGCAGGGCAAAATTTGGCATCAATTATAAATGATTAAAAGTCACTCAATGGCTTTCTGGAGACGAGTGTGGCTTAGGTAGTGCACTGGGAGTCCTCCGGAGTGTTATCACCCCGCTGTGAAGTCCGTGGGTGCGTGGGTTTCCGGACCAAAGGTGTGGGATCTCGCTGTGCTTCTTGCTTACTGGATCCTTGTGCCCTGTCATCAACTCCTGATCGGAAATGAGCGGTCCGGCGCCCAGCACGCTCTTATAGGAAAGGGGATAGGAAACAACCCGAATCCAGTGACGCAGCTGGCCCGGTGGCGACACTCTAGAACTGGTTGGTGGCCGTCCATAGTCTGCTTTCACCCCCGATGAACTGTTGCACTCTGTTACCCGCCTGCGTCACGCTTCAAAGTGCGGCCTGATGATGTGCAGCTGGCAACGCTGATCAGCTCTGCTACCTCGTCACAATGTAAATATGTAAAGATCTAGACAAAATATATCACTGCATAGCGATTCTGATTATTCAGCGGTCAGTGAGTCCATAAAATTGAGCAGATTCCTAAAAATACCCACATTTCAGTAAAGTGTTGTAAAATAATGTTTACATTTTTTATTTAGTTGTGAGTGAAAAGAAATTATTTTATAACAACAAAAAAAATATATAGTGGTTCCAAATCAGAATATATTGTAGTGAGTTTAGTAAGAGAGACACGGACACTGTTCAAGGCCGTGTAGGGCATTTTATTAAAATTTGGCATCAATTATAAATTAAAAGTCACTCAATGGCTTTTTGGAGATGAGTGTGGCTTAAGGTAGTGCACTGGGAGGACTCCGGGGTGTCTTCACCCCGCTGTGAAGTCTGTGGGTTTCCAGACCAGAGGTGTGGGATCTCGCTGTGCTGGTGCTTCCGCCATGCTCCGGGGCTACTGGATCCTTGTGCCCTGTCATCAACTCCTGATCGGAAATGAGCGGTCCGGCGCCCAGCACGCTCTTATAGGAAAGGGGATAGGAAACAACCCGAATCCAGTGACGCAGCTGGCCCGGTGGCGACACTCTAGAACTGGTTGGTGGGCGTCCATAGTCTGCTTTCACCCGCGATGAACTGTTGCACTCTGTTACCCGCCTGCGTCGCGCTTCAAAATGCGGCCTGATGATGTGCAGCTGGCAACGCTGATCAGCTCTGCTACCTCGTCACAATGTAAATATGTAAAGATCTAGACAAAATGTATCACTGCATAGCGATTCTGATTATTCAGCGGTCAGTGAGTCCATAAAATTGAGCAGATTCCTAAAAATACCCACATTTCCATGAGACAGTAGGCATCCCAGATTTATTACTGGCAGTGACATCAATATTATCTGGGATATCTTTTAGAAGCTGATGTTGTACAGGATTATTTCTTTACAATGCCTGCAAATGCAGCAAAATTCAGAGTTGCATCGACAGCATGAATCAGTGACACAATTCTGTGACTATTTAAATCAACAAAGCAACACAGTTTACAAAATGCTACCACTGCTTTTACGCGTTCATGCTGGATGCGTTCATTGTCAGAAGAAAGGACAACAATGATGGAATTCATGGATAAAGATTGGCAGTAAATTGATGTTTTCTTCTTTTACTTTTTCTGCACAGCGGAACATAAGCGCATGGAAAACCACTAGAATGTTGTTTAAGATGTTTAAAAGCAAAAAAAAATACCTTCTCTAACTGGACTTTGTACTATGGATCAAATAACCATAACAAAACAAACTGGAATCCACACACATAACAACTCAATACATTGTTATTTTTAAACTCGTAGCCGTGTCTCTATTTAAAATTGTCATGAACTGAAAAAATTAATAAGTGCTGAATATTTTTATATGGAAGAGCTGATGGAACAATAAAGCAACTTTAATACATTCTTAAGATGGCCATAATAGTTAAAAAGTTGTTCCAAAGGTAACAGCAAAACATCTGTTGCACCCATCAAGAAAGCTTTTCTGAAAACAAATAATATTTTCATTCTGGAGCAAGCCAGTGTTTGGAAAAGCACTTTTTTTATTGTGTGAACCATCAAAGATGTGATCTTTGAGTAGCTGACTTTTAAGATATCTGGCGTGCTAAATGTTTGGAGCTGTCTGCAATTCAGACTCATGCAGTATGAAATGTCTTCTGACTGAGAATAACTTCTGCGCCAATTAGAGAGCAGCATCCACGTCAAGAGAATTTAGGGGAGGAGTTAAAAAAGTATAGACAGCAATTGTCAACAAGGCTTCGGTTCAATAAAAGGGCTTATACTTTATCTAATTGTATCCAATAATTATAAAAAAATACAAAATAAAACAAAACACAGTTTTGATAATAATCCCAATAGTGCAGTTCAGTTGTGCACATTGTTTTCTAGTAACGTCGGTTTTCCTGTCACTGAGTCAGTAGAGCATTTTACTAGCAATGTAAAGGTTGTGGGTTCAAACCCCAGAGGAAGTAAGAACAGACAAAATGTGTTCATTCCTTCAAATGAAAAGAAATGTGTGAAAAGATCTTTGACACAACTAAATTGTAACTCGGCATAGTCAAAAGATGCTGAATGTTTGTACATACGCAATGTTTTCTCTTTGATGTGTGTTCAGAGCAGTATTTTTGCCTGTTATTTATATTTAAATCATTGACCATTTAGAGAGAAATGCTGAAGTTAGAAAAATTAGAAGACCAGCTCACTTCCAGAACCTGGTTAAAAACAGAAACATTATGGCACAGTTTGTCTGAATTCTGATTGGGTGGCAGGTGTTGATTCATTTTGTATGACTGCGCAGGTAATCCGGTTTGGTTTTTTTCACCTATAAAATCAATTTGTCGTCACTGGTAACTCTAGGCTTTGGTTCATAGCGAGAGTACATCATAATCTTTGAACCAGGATAAATAGCGAAGCATAGCTGTTGGTCTCTTTCTAAAGTTGGACTAAGAGACACAAAATGCTGTCAGCAGCAGCAGGTCACTGTAAGTTTGGCCTGTCCCTCGACTCATCTGGTCATCAAGATCTCCACAAACAGATCCTTTTCCTGCCCAAATATGAATCATTCACATTTTACAAAAACAAGTTGCATCTTGACTTACTTCTTGTTGTTGTTTTTTTTGTTTTTGTTTTTTTTATTTGATTAAATATTGAAGAATTTGATTTGCTATTGTACTTGTTTGAACAATAGAAGTTCTGACCTGAACAAATGCAATATGGAGTTAATTGTGTGCTAATAAAACGACCACAGTTTCAGCTAATATGAACAAAAATAACGGAAAACAAATGATAAAGGAAAAAAATCAGCCTGCAAACAAAACCTTTATGTTCACTAGCGAAAAACACAAGAAAGCTTGTACATCCGGTACGTTAAGCTGCCAATAAAAATTGTACTTGTTAATTAGAGCGAACCATGGCTATCCCGCCCCTATTGGAGATTTTTCCAGAATGACAAGCGTAACTTTTTATGGCGTAACTTTTTCTTAATTACCTTCCAAATGATGTGCCATAACTCTTGTAATGTTTGTTTAAAACCAAAAATATCAAAACTAATCACCTTTTAGATTGGGAAATACACTGTTGCATGCAAACACTTCTAAGGGTTAAGCCCTGAAGCGATTATTTGCCAGAAATTGATGCTGCATCAGACAAGACAACTGCCGCTTTCAAGTGACCATGGCATTCATGGAATTATCAGCTTTCAGCCCTGGTTTCTTTTTTATGCTTTGGCCACCACATTGGGCATCTAATACAGCCGAAAGCACGGCTGAAAGTACATTATCCCTTATTTTATGTAATCTGTAAAGGCTACTTGCTCCTGTCTTCCCACAAGCAGCAACCCTGAGTCCTCTACATGCATCTGAACACACAGAAGCATTTGATCAGTGAATATAAAATGTTAATCAACACCATGCAGATCAAAGGCCTCAGAAAAGGTGTTAATAGTTCAGGCAGTATGTGTGTAAGGAACAACCCATCTCCATATTTGAGTGTGCCAGCAGGTAAACATTACCAGAACAAAAGACACTTTAAATTCAGGACTTGACACTGGTGAAAACTTTGATATGTTAATGTGCTCCCTCGTTGCACTGGCTTGAGCGGAACAGAGAAATCCAGATGATTGCAGTGCCAGCAGTGGGAATTGAATAATTGCGCACCTGATTCTAAAACAAGCAAAACTCATTGTTGCAGATGATTGGAGACATTCAACACAATGTAAATATGTCTGGCATTAACATTCGCTTCATGATCTTCAAACACTGAGGGGCTTTTAGAACTCGGTGTATTGTGGAGAATTCCCAAAGCACTTTGATGGAAAGTTAGTTTATTTCCATTATGGTATGAGATCTGTGCTTATTCGTAACCAATAGAAGCCGGAGAAGTCATTTGCCCACACAGGCAAAGCAGAGTTATTCTATTCATCCGTAAGAAGATTTTGTGAAATCAATAGCCGTTATTAAAGTCACTGTCTTAATCCTCTGGGCTTCCTGCACAATATCGCTGTAGCCTCTTGTTGGTATGCAGAACTCGCTCCCGGATTTCCATTGTGCAACGCCACTTGGCTTTATCGAAATACGATTATAAAGTAAACCTGCCAGAAAAAGTGCTTGTCATGTCTGCCTTGGACTATGAAATTATCTTTCTAAGTAAGCCCCAACTCAGTTGGGCTGTTTTCTTTTTAGGACAGTTGCGCAAGATGTTGCTTTTTATATTCAACATGGATTCGTTTGTCGGAGAAACTGTCTTGTCCCATGTCTGAGTATACGAAGAATAGCACAAACATTTATGTTGTCCTGTCAATTAATATAATAAAAAAAGTTGGAGGGGTCAGTGATATAATATAAAGTTGCCTTTGTCATTATACGTTATATAAACCAACCCCAATATTTCTTTCATTAACCAAAGCTAAGACAGTTCAGAAAATATGGTTGCTAGGGTAATAAGTTTTGTTGCTAGGGAGCTGTTAGTGATGTCATCAAAAGTTTTTACTTCCATAAACAAACCTCCATTTCTCACTTCCTTTAACTTCCTTTATAAGTTTTTACCACTTCTATTGCTTAGGGTTCAAAAACATTTGCAGTGTTTAGTGTGCTCTCTGCACAAACGATTGACCTCAGTGGTTCTCAGTTACTGTTTTACAATGTTTACCCCATGTTAAGTCAATGGAAAATTTCGCAGCATTTTCTGCGAATTACCAAAATCCTTTTAGGGGTACCATTTTGAAAAGAACTGTTTAAGATGGGATGCTCTCAAATATCTTATAATATATGAATGCAGTGTTTATTTACAGATGTCCTTTTTCTTCTTAATGTTAAATGGTAAAATGTCAGATTTGCATATGTTAGATTGCTTTTCAACCACAAAAAGCAGATGTAAGGGAACATACAATAAATTAACTGCTCCTTTGTGTAAATATCCAATAAGCGTGTTAGGGGAGGGCGGGACTTTGCGTGTAGGATAAACTTTTTTATCCACTAAGAAAAAAATGTGTATAAACTTTGATGGAAATGCATTTACTGAATAAATCCTGATGTCATGACAATGCGTTTTTCTGTTGGAACTGAGGCGTGATCGGGCGACATTAATAGACTAAGCTATGTTTCATTGCACAACATCTCAAATGGTGTTTTGGCCAAATTAAAATTCCTTAGCCAAAGTTTGCCATCAAATGGGTTTGGGATTATCACCTACCAGAACTGTCTTGAACTGCCTGCCTCCAAAAGTTGCATATGAAAAATCTTTTGGTATTTATTGAGAGTTTATCAGGAAGTAAGGATTTTGTTTTCTTGGACTCGTTGGATGGAAACTGTGCTTAATTTGCAAATAATTTATGTGATGTTCCAGTTTTGCATTTAAATTAAATTTGCACATTTAGATGGAAACATGCCTAGTGATACACTTTCAGCATGAGAAAGGAATCACTAGTCTGAGACCTTGAATACAGGATCATCTACCCGAAAAAAAGTCACGTAATGAAAAGCTTCTATTGGCTAAATGTTTGCTATCAAAAACAATGAGTAACTTTAGTAGTAGTGGAAGCTGCAGTTGTGCAGTTCTATTATTAACCCATACTGAAATATGGCCTGCTCTGTTTATTTCATATTCAGCATTATTCTGGTGAGCAGCAAAGGTTAATTTCATGAACAAAATGCAGTGATAGAAACAACTAAAGAGTTTGGATCCATAATACTATAAATCCAAAATGATGAATTGGAAACAAAGTTTTTTTTATCTTTCTCAAGATGCTGCATGCAAACTATTCCTGGGTCAAACTGTCATAGATCATAATGAGTCTCTACTGGTATAGAAAAAGAACCATATGTAACAAGTGATAGTCTTTAATACTAAAGAATAGACTTTGAGATGCTGAAAAGAAAAAAAAAATTCTATGTAATGGAATGTTTTACTCACTGAAACAGTGCTCTCTCATTCATAGAAAAGTGGGTTTAGATGTGTGAACGTGTCCCTGTAAAACTTGAAACTTATTGTACAATTAATTCATAATATCTCCCAAATTTGAGTGTAACCAGAAGGCAATTTGGTGTGAGCGGAAGACCCCTGACATCATTTTTTTCTATTTTTTCAGGGGTTACTTTTAATTTTTTTCCTCTTTTTAATTAGCTTTCAAAACGTTACAAATCTCAGAAACACTGTATACAATGCAAAGTAATTTGTTTATCTCTTCCACAAACACCTTTTTTTCCATTTGGGTCAATTTGACCACAGCAATTTGAAATGTTAAGAATATGATTTTTTTGCTAAAAGGTCAGGTAATAGAGCGGTAGGAGGTGTCATCACATCAGGAGGTGTGGGAGGAGGTGTCATCACAATGGGTGCAGTGACTATCTAGTTTGTATCCAATAGGAATCATGCTTAGCTTTGTTATGTATCTTGTTCACTAAATATAAGTATCCTTTTCAGACACTAATTATTAACTTATATTTGTACTTGGCGATAGAATGTATTGAGGTGTAATATAAAACAGTTAATTCTGCAGGAATTTAATTGATTACCTGAGTTGCGATGACCTGCTTTGGGGAATTGAACCAAAGAGTCGATTGGCAGTCGACTCTTAAGACTCGGAATCAAATGAGATCGGTTCAGACCGCAACTTCAAGCTTCGTTAGATTTACTGTCCACCAGTAATTCACATTCGGCAATCAATATTGATCTTTAATCAAATATGACTCGTGTCCCAAAGACACTAATACTCAAGTTAGAGCTAGTAGCAATAGATCGACTATCTCAGGGAGCGATTGAGCATGTATAAACCACAGACAAAGTAATGCGTTTAACAAGTTTATTAACTAATCTAAAACACACAAACTAAGTACTAAAGCTATATAGATAAACACACACACACACACACACACACATTCACACTGAGAGAAGGAATGATTTGCAACTGTATTCTGAAATCTAATATCAAATAGCATAAACTGATAACCATTAACTATGAGCCTCAGCAAACG